CCATCCTCCCCTGGCCCTCAGCGCCTCGGGACCAAGGTAACCTCCTGCCCACAGCACCCGCGGCCCCTGCCGCTCTGGCCTGAGCTCCGGGCCGTGCCCAACCCTCCCCTGCCCCACCCACACCCTGCGCCCCTGCAGGCCCCTGCATGCACCAGGCTCTTGAAGCCTGCACGCTGTCCCTGTGTCTAGAAGCTTCCATTGTCTCCTCCCCAGGCCACCCAGTAAGTCCCTGCTACCTTCTCCCCATTGGGTGGGAAGGTCATTTCCTCTAAGAGGACTCCCCTGACCTCACAGCAGCTCCTTCTCTCCTTGGTGCCCCCGTGGCGACATGACCCACCTCCGGTGGCCCCATCTCACTGGGACAGGCCTGGCCGCCTCTCCTCCACCACTCGCCTTCTTGCTTGTCACCAGTTGGGGCCCATTCGGCCCTAAATCCTGGTCCCGGCCACAGCTGGCAAGCAGGTGACTCACCCGGGAGGGCTGGGAGGGGGCTTCTGCTCAGGGAATGAATGGACATAAGGAGATGTTTGTGCCACGGCCCCTGGGAAACGGAAACTTGTAGCGGAAGGGACCACCGCAGGGCAATGCTGGGGGTGACGTACAGGCACTGGGAGACGGGCGGGGGCGGCCCCAGGGGCGCGTGCATCGGGCAGATCGTTACCGAAGCTGCGTCCATTGCTTGTTGCTGCATGCCTGGCCCAGTCTTGCGTTCCCTGCAAGCACCTACTGATGCCCTACAACAGTGGTTCTCAACCTTCTGGCCCTTTAAATACAGTTCCTCATGTGGTGACCCAACCATAAAATTATTTTCGTTTCTACTTCATAACTGTAATGTTGCTACTGTGATGAATTGTAATGTAAATATCTGATATGCAGGATGGTTTTTGGTGACCCCTGTGAAAGGGTCGTTCGACCCCCAAAGGGGTCTCGACCCACAGGTTGAGAACCGCTGCCTTACAAGGACCCGTAGGATTACTGATCCTCACTGTGCAGATGGGGAAACTGAGGCAGGGGCAAGGTCCCTCACCCAAGGAGGTGCACGCCTCGCCACCACCCTGGCCAGCTGCTGGCGGCATCTGACGTGCTCTGGGCGTCGCAGTGAGAGTTACAGGGAAGGCAGTCATTATGAGAAGATAACTTATTGGCTTCATATTTAAACAGTAATTTCCCACATAGAACTTCGCTGACGTCAGCAGGTAGCTGCAGGGATCAGTGTCCTTGTCCCCAAACCCACAGCCCGCGGAGGCAAGGCCTTGCCGGGAGCACACACTTCGCAGTTTCTAGTGCAGGCTGCTCCGAGCCCCAGTCCCGGAAGGACGGCCACTCCAAGGACAAACCCGGGCCTGGGAGGAGCTTGGGGAGGTGTTTCTGCTCAGGTCCCGGGTGAAAGGAATTAAAAAGGACTGTGGTTTGCCCGGCCGGTGTGGCTCTGTGGTTGAGCATCGATGTGTGAACCAGGAGGACACAGTTTGATTCCCGGTCAGGTACATGCCCGGGCTGCAGACTGGGTCCCCAGTGTGGGGCGTGCAGGAGGCAGCTGATCAATGATACCCTCTCATCACTGATATTTCTCTCTCTCCCCCTCTCCCTTCCTCTCTGAAATCAATAAAAATATATTTTTTATAAAAGGACTGTGGTTTGCCTGATAAGCAGGGCCCACTGCAGATGTCCTCCTGTCCCGCCCCCCCCCCCCCCCCCGCCCTGTGCTTTTTAGCAAGTGTGCACTGGCACTGCCATGTGCCGGCACTGGGCTGGAGAGGTGAGCCGACCTGGCCTTCAGAGCGTTCAGGGGAGACAGACACAGGCGCAGACAGTGGCAATGGGTGGCTGGCTGCTCCAGCCAGAGGCTGTGGCCTGGCCCCGAGGGCAACAGGGAGGCTGACCCCAGGGGATTAAAAGTCACAATCTTTCATTTGCCAGCGTCAGGCTGTTTTTTTAGAGCTGAGGCCATGTCCTGGGTGACAGCGGCGTCAGGAAGGCTGGGCGCTCCGCCAGCCTCTCTGCCCCAAAGTGTGAGTAGAGCGACCCCTGGTGGCAGCGACCGGAATCTCTCATTGCTTAGCGAGCGCTGCCCGCCCCTGCTTGACTGCCTGCCTGTGGGCAGAACCGCTGCTTCACCTTTGACCCTCACTCCGGCAGCCAGCGAGGCTTTAAGACATCGTGTGAAACTGAAACACAGGCGGGAGCGGTGAACATACAGCTGACGTAAAAGGCCAGATGACAGGCCAGTCACCTGACACAAAAAGGTCAGCCCGGTCCCATTAGTTAGATTACAAACAGGCCCAACCTCAGGATTGCACTTTATTCTGTCTGTTTCTCAGATGTTAAACTCCCTCAGCACTTTTCCTGTTGGTCAGCATTCGGAACAACCCAATGTCCCCTGGGGGCGGCGGTCCTTATCTCAGGGGCTATCAGGCAGCCGCGAAACACCCGTCGCAGAAGAACTTGTGAGAAAACCATCCTTCAAAAACATCACAGGAGAAGCACCAGTGCTCTTAGGAACACAGCCTCCTGGCTCTGGGGAGACTGTGAGCGCGTCTGCACGGAAAAGGCCCGCAGGGCACCGTCCAGCACACGAACAGCCTGTGTGTCTGGGTTTCACCGAGTTCCTTGTTTTCCTCCTTTTGCTTATCTTTCAAAGTAAAGGTAAAGCAAAAACCATGCAAAGTTACAGGCGAATGCTCCCGTGAGTGGGGAAAGCAGGAAGGTCAACCGGTCGGAGCGGAGAGGTGCGGGAAGGGCGGGGGGCGTGGACCCAGTTCAGAGCCCCGAGCTCGGTCCTGTGCTCCCACTGTGTGTGCTGTGTGACCTTGGACAAGTCACCCTCCCTCTCTGAGAATTGATTTCATCACTTGTGCAATGAAAGGGGTGTAGCGTCGTTTTTTGGGTGCCCTCCATGGGAGGAGAGGTGCCTGCAGCAGGTAGCAGGGCACAAGGCTCTGAGGCAGGAGGGAGAGGGGCTGTGGGAGGAGCAGAGATGGGGTGGGGGGAGCGGACCAAGCCAGGTGGGGGTGGGCTTCCCCTTCAGTGCAGCGGGAAGCATGGAAGGTTGGAAACAGGAGAGCAGCCTGCCCCGTTTGCAGTTCAGTGGGATTGCTGGGAGGTGAGCGTGTGGAAGGGCGGGGCTGGGGCTGAGGGGTGTGTGTGTGTGTGTGTGTGTGTGTGTGTGTGTGTGTGGCGGGGAGGGGGAGGTTGCCCAGCAAGCAGCAGGCGATGAGCACCCTCCCCCAGGAGTTACGTGCCAGCCAGGCAGAAGAGACAGCAGACGCAGGCGTGCAGAGGCAGGCCAGCCAGGGCAGGTGGGGAGGCGGCTGGGGGAGAGGCCACTGTGAGTGGGAGCCGGAGCCGGAGCCGGGGCCAGGGTGAGGAGTGTCCGTCAGCCTGTGACCCCATGGTGGCCTCCAGGGCCTGTCTCAGCGCTGGAGCCTGAGGGAGCCGGGCGGCTCTGAGCAGGAGGCTCAGCTAGGGGTTGATGCAGGGTCTGCTGGGAGAGGGCAGCACCCGGGGGACAGGGGGTGGGGGGGGGCGGGCAGTACCTGTTCACTTTCGTCCCCCTCATCTGGAATGGCCCCGGCACATCGTAGGGACTTGGTAAATGTTTGCCCATAGATGCACCAGGGAGTCTAAACACCTGCCTGTCTGCAGGCTCTGCCTCCGCATCCGGCTATCACACATGCGTTAAGCACCTGCTTTGTGCTAGGCTAAGGTGAGGGTGCAGACCGGATGAGCCAAGTTCCCCTCCAGAAGGGCCTCAGGGTCTGGTGTGGGCAGAGGGGCAGCAGGCAGCACCGTTAGGACGGGTTAGCAGTAGCCCGGGGCAGGGCGCGTGGGTGGTGGGCAGAGCTGAGCCTTCTGCGGCCCCACGCCTCCCCTGCAGCCGCGAGAAGGTGCTGTGTTATAGTGCCCTGCAGGGGGCGCCTCGCTGCACACCCGCCCGGCTTGGGGAGAGGCTGAGGGCAGGGGTGCCGCCCAAGGGCATTGGCTGTAGCATCTGGACTTGTTGGCATTTGAGGGACAGGACTGCCCAGAGCCCCTGGTGGGACACAGTGGGAATAGGAGGGAGAGGGGACCGGAGCCCAGAGGCATCCTGGCTGGCAGACAAGCCCCTAGTTGTCTGTGGAACAGAGCCTGGGTGCCAACAGGAGGCAGTTAGGGCTGTAGGGCCAGGAGCCGGGACAGGCTGCACAGGACACAGCTACACGGGACACAGCTGCATGGGACAGGGGTGCATGGGACAGGCTGCACAGGACAGGGCTGCACAGGACAGGGCTACACGGGACAAGGCTACACGGGACACAGCTGCATGGGACAGGGCTGCACCAAACATGGTTGCACAGGACACGCCTGCATGGGACATGGCTGACGGGACAGGGCTGCACGGGACAGGGCTGCACAGGACAGGGGTGCACGGGACATGGCTGCACGGGACAGGGATACACGGGACAGGGATACACGGGACAGGGATACACGGGACAGGGCTGCACGGGACAGGGATACACGGGACAGGGATACACGGGACAGGGATACACGGGACAGGGCTGCACGGGACAGGGATACACGGGACATGGCTGCACGGGACAGGGATACACGGGACAGGGCTGCACGGGACAGGGCTGCACGGGACAGGGATACACGGGACAGGGATACACGGGACAGGGCTGCACGGGACATGGCTGCACGGGACAGGGATACACGGGACAGGGATACACGGGACAGGGATACACGGGACAGGGATACACGGGACAGGGCTGCACGGGACAGGGGTGCACGGGACAGGGCTACACGGGACAGGGATACACGGGACAGGGCTGCACGGGACAGGGATACACGGGACAGGGCTGCACGGGACGGGGCTGCATAGATCAGGGCTGCAGGCCAGGCCACGGGCCTCTGCTCCCTGAGCCTCAGTTTCCCCTGGGTTCCCACTACATCTGTTGGGAGGGACGCACGGGGACCGGCTTGGATGAACACTCAGCTCTTGATTCCGTGTCTTCCTGAAGGACGCCTGGGGCCGTGTCCAGGACGAGTGGCTGCTCCTGCCCTGGGAGGAGGCGCTGGAGGCCTGCGGACGCCCAGGCTGGCAGACACCTCCCCACCCCGACGGGGCCCCGGGACCACACACCTCCGCAGGTATGTGGGAGCCACGGTGCGTAGAGCACCCACCACCGGGCTAGCTCACTTACAGCACCCTGATGATGCAGGGTGGCTGTCCCGACTGCAGACAGGAAGCCGGGGCTCAGAGAGGTGGCGACCCTGCTCAGTGTCACATGGCTGGTGAAGGGGTCGGAGCCCGCCGTGCCCATGACACGCCTGCCAGCACAGGCTGCAGGCCTCTCAGGCGATTGTCCCCCCAGAAGGCCGAGCTCTTCTGTCCCCACCTCCACCCCAGTGACCGCCAGGTGCCAGGCCTGGGAGCTGCTGGCCTTAGCAGCCCCTTGTCCCCGACGGGAACCTATGTCCCTGATGACAGTCTCAGCCACAGCTTCCAGGTCCCTGCTGCACAGGCTGCTGCTCCCGGCAGCCCCAGAGCCACTGGCCCCCCTGGTGTCTGTGGTTTCCGCACAGTCCCCCAAGGCCAGGTGCACAGGAGGGGTCATGTGTACCCACCAGCTGCTCACCCCAAGGCCCACTCCCTTTCCACCCCCTTTCCGGGAGCCGCGCTGACTAGCAAACAAGGTCAAAATCATCCTTGGAAGGCACAGGTCTGCCTGCTGGGAGCCCAGGAGTCGGCTCCTTGGTCCGCACCCCTACCGTGGGGGCTGGAGGTGGGATGGCGACCGTGTGGCCATGAGGGAGCCAGGAGGAAGACGTCGTGTATTGTGTCACCCGCACGAGCTCTGTGGTTAGAAGTGGTTGCCAGACCCAGACCCACTGCACATCGGGACGGTCGCTTCCCCTCTCTGAGCGCCTGGTTCCTCCCCTGGAGGGCGATGGTGATCTTCAGTCCTTCACAGGCCTTCCGGATGGGAAGGGTGTGAGTCAGAGGCAGTGCCACCAGCCCCGACAGCAGGGGCAGGGCCACTGGCGACAATCCTGGGCAGGGTCCTAGAAGGGTCTTTCTAACCCCGGGGTCCTGTTCCTCCCCAGGCCCGCCCGCCGAGGGGCCCTGCGTCGAGGCTGGACGAGGCCCCTTGGAGCTGGTGCCCGGCCTGGAGACGGCAGCTGGGCTCCTGGGAGAGCTGGTGGCTGCTGACCGTGGACGGGTAAGGCAGATGCTCCTGTGTGCCCAGGGTCCAGCTGGGTCTGACCAGCCCCTGTGTGTGCCCTCCATGCGGGAGGTGGGAAGAGGGGGGTCATGCCTCATCCCAGGGAAACTTCTGAGCAGGGTCCAGCCCAGGGCTGTGAGGCAGGAGCCAGTCCCCCGTTCTGCAGAGGAGGGTTCTGGGACCCCAAGAGCTGTGATCCCCAAGGCCACACAGCCCTGGGCTGGACCCAAGCTCTGGTTCTGCAGCCCACACTCCGCCCACCTGTGCCCCGAGGTCAGGAGCCAACCGCCCCGCCCTCCCTTCCCCCCCCCCCCCCCCCCCGTCCCTCCCCGGCCCTGCCTGGCTCGCGCTGGGCTTTGAGGCCCAGCGTTTCCTGCCGCTCTGCCTGGCTGGTTCTGGGGCTCAGCAGAGGGTTGTCCCTGCTTCTTCATTCCTTCACGCCCTGCCCCGAGGCGCTGCGTGCATGCATGTGCACATATATGTGCGGGTGTGCATATGTGCATGTGTGTGTGTGCTGGCACACCCTGAGCCACCCTGTGGGTTGGGAGGGCTTCATGGAGAAACTGGCCCCCGGCTCCATGCAGGCGGAGGATGGAGTTAGACAGGACAGGGATGGGCGGCGCAGGGGCGCGGGTGGGAAGACTGGCCAGGCCGTGGGCGGGGCGGCCATGGTCACATGTGAGCCTGAGGGCCCCTCCCTCCCTGCAGGCCGAGGCCCAGCCCAGCTGGGTCAGCCCTGCGAGCGGGGGCCAGTCCTCCTCTCTGGAAAACGTACTGAATAAAGACTGTGAAAATGCATTTAAAGGCATCGATGGAGCCCTATGTGCCCGCACTTCCAGGCCAGGGTCCCTGCCTCGGGGAGCAGACCACACCCACTGCCCCAGAGCCTTTGGGGTGCCGCCCCTTTCTGCACCCGTGCTGTGCAGTACGGCAGCCGAGGTCCACACGGGGGCTGAGCAGCGACACGGGCCGCTGTGACCGCAGAACCGAACGCTGACTCTCATTTTGTTTCCCATTTGAAAAGCTGCCTAAAGCCTGTGGCCACCGCCCTGGACAGGACGGGGCGATAGAGGAGTGGCACCCTCGCACACAGACTGTAACGGGGTGGGGGTGGGGTGCCGTGGAGGGAGAAAGTGGCTTCAATGGGCAGAGAGTGGGTATACTCGGGGAGGCCCTTCTGAGGAAGCACCTTGTGAGGTGAGATGTGAACGGAGCGTGAGGTGAGCCAGGAGGGCTCTGGGCAAAGGACATTCTGGGCAGAGGGAAGAGCAGGTGCAAAGGCCCTGGGGTGCGTTAGGGAGGCCTATGTGGCTGATGTGGAGGTCCCGGGACATGAGAAGACAGGGACAGAGGGGGATACGTGGCAGAGGGGCTGTTTCCCACCCCCCTCGTCTCTTCCCTCCTAGCCTGCTCCGGCTGAGCCCGCCCTGCACGGACAGACTCTCCTCCTGCTCTGTGGCTGCCCCTCGGGGCAGAGCGCCGACACCTCCCTCCTCCCCGAGGAGCTGGCCTGGATCTCCATGCAGAGGCCAGCAGCCGCCCCGGCCCAGGAGTCCCTCCTCCTGGTGCAGACGTCCGTGCTCCCTCCCTGGGGGCCTGTCGGTGGCCCCGCTGCCCTGCTGCTCCAGGCGGTGTTTCCAGAAGAGCCCCAAATCCAACAGGGGCTGGACGTCGGGCCCCTGCCTGCTCCCCGAGCCATGGACCACCCCCCAACAAGGAGCCACGGTGCCCCCCTCTGCTGGGAGGCCCCACAGATTCCCCACCGCCGCTTTCCTGGGCCAGGGCCAGGCCATCTGAGCGGCCCTGGGGAGGCGGGGGGAGGAGCCCCGGAGTGGAGAGCGGAGGCGCGGGGGGCGAGGAGGACGCGGGGCAGGAAGGAGGAGGACCTCGGGGACGGGTGCTGGCGGCGGGAAAGCCAGGAGGACCCCAGCTTGGAGGACGGTGCTGGCGCCCTAGGAGGCCTGCAGAACACACGCGGGGCTTCCGGACCCCAGGCCGCCGCCTCCTGCCCTCGGCCCAGGCAGATCCTCCCTGTGCCTCTTCCGCAGGGGGAGGCCTCCCTGTCCACGGAGGGTCCCTCGTCCCTGGACAGGAGGCGGCGGGCGGAAGGGCACGTGTGGGGCCTCCTGGGAGGGTTCCCATCGGAGGAGGAGGAGGAGGAAGAGGCCTCCGCAGCCGCCTCCTTCCGGGCTCCCGGTGCCAAAGGGCCGTCTCCACCCGGCGCTCAGCTCCTCCTCCTCGCGGAGGACGGGGCCCCCAGGAGCCCCCAGGGCCACGAGGACAGCGCTGCGTGGACTGCACCTGCCCTGCTGCTGCTGGAGGAACCACCCGGGGATGGGGGGCCTGGGCAGGAGGAGAAGCCGCTGTGTCTGGAAGGGTCCGGCGTGGGCTCCCAGGAGTGGGAGGAGGAGGGCACCCTCTTCCTGGTGGGAGAGGGTGGTTTGCTGCTGTCCCCCACATGGGCCTTCCCGCCCGAGGGAGCCCAACCCACCAGGCCCCCCAGGCCCCCACGTGAAGGACAGGGCGGGCCTGCGCTCACGATAGACGCATTCGCAGAGGAGATGGAGGCCTGCTTCCAGCAGCTGGCGGCCCTGCGGCGGGGGAGCGGGGGGCGGGGGCGCGAGGCGTCCCCACTGGCAGGGGTTTTGGAGACGTGTCCTGCGAGGGAAGCAGGCCCCAAGGAGAGTTGTGAAGACGTTAGGCCGGGAGAGACCGAGGCCCTGGGAACCGGCCAAGTTCTCCCAGGGGTGGGGCCTGATTTGGGGGATCTGTGCCCCGGCCCAGGGGGGCCCTCGGAGCTGGGCCAGAGCCCCCGTCCGCCGCCAAGAGCCCTGGAGAGAGCCAGGAGGCGGCTTCGTCAGCTCGTCTCCGGACTGAAGGAGGAGAGAAGCCGAGTTTTACACGACAACGTCCGGCTTCAGCGAGACCAAGAGAGATGCCATCGAAAGATCCGGGCCCTCCGGACGCAGAGCGAGCGGCAGGCGAGCAAAGTGTCGGGGCTCGAGCGGGAGCGGGGCGACATCTCCCGCCTGCGGAGGGAGCTGGACCAGTACCTGCAGCTCATCGCCGACCTGGAAGACTGCAACGCGAGGAGCTACCGCAAGATCTCCGAGCTGGAGGCGGAGAACGAAAGCCTGCGCCGGGGTCTGGGCCGGCTGCAGACGGCCGTGTCCGCGGACGCCCGGCGCTGCCGCGGCCTCATGCAGGGCGCCGTCCAGGAGAACCGGGAGCTCAAGGCGCTGATCTCGGAGCTCGGGCTGGGCTACAGAGAGCTGGTCAAGGACGTGGTGCTGGGAATAGAGGACATGATCGGGGCCCTTCGCGGGGAGAACGCGCACCTTCTGCGCAGGATCCGGGTCCTGGAGAGGGAGGTCGCCCTGGGGGTGAGCTCAGAGGCGGGGCATCTGGGGGGAGCAGAGCAGCGCCCCCAGGGAGAAAGCCAGGAGGCGGTGGACAAGGTGGGGGCTGTGGACAAGGTGGGGACTGTAGAAAGGGCGGTGCAGGTGAGTCCGCCGTCAGAGCCGCTGACTGCGGGAGTCCACGGGCCGCCCTGGGAGGAGGACCCGGGTCTTCCCGGAGAGAGGATGGGCCCTTCCTTGGGCACAGAGGGTCCCAGGTGCGGAGCCAGGGCGGCCACTCCGTCGCCGGCCGGGAGAAGGGCTGATGTGTCCGGTGCCCTGCGAGGAGACGTCCACGGGACGGGAGTGAAAGAGGCACAGCTGGGGAGAGAGGAGGAAGGACCACGGCATTCTGCAGCCCCAGGGCCGGCGCTCAGGCCCCTGGGCAGCGGCCACCAGGTAGGCTGCCTGCGTAGCTGCCTCATCTCCTCTTGCTAACGTTCTAGACTGCTGCCCACCCCCTCATGCATGCCGCCCTCCCGCAGCTCAGAGAGGAGGCACAGCGCCACCTCCATTGGCCAGGTGACAGAGCCCAGGCCCCGGGGACTCAGTGAGCGGCGTCCCAGGCTAACCTGAGCATCCGCAGGCCACAGAACCGCGTGCACGAGTCTCCCAGCATGCTCTCGTCACATGGACAGGTGCTCCGGCGTGGCCAAAGGGAGCAAAGACACAAAGATATAGACTGAATTTTATATAGAAAAATAGCCCTAGCTGGTTTGGCTCAGTGGGTAGAGCGTCGGCCTGCGGACTGAAGGGTGCCGGGTTTGATTCCGGTCAAGGGCACATGCCTGGTTTGCGGGCTCCATCCCCAGTAGGGGGCGTGCAGGAGGCAGCCATCAATGATTCTCTCTCATCATTGATGTTTCTATCTCTCCTTCCCCCTTCCTCTCTGAAATCAATAAAAATATATTTTTTTTGAAAGAAACATAGAAACATAGATATGTGGGCATGCGTGTATGTATGTGCACACCTGGGTGTCTGCATAAATGCTCTTAAAAATAAAAATGTAGACTCCAGGCCACTGGGGGCAGCAGCATCCCCATCGCTTAACCACAGTTCCCACGACCTCCCTCTCCCTCCTGCCCCCTGAAATCCCCTGCGACACCCAGGAAAGCTGCTGGCGTTGGGCCCACAGTGCGAGGGACTGCTTTGCCCGGCTGCATGGCTCACCTATGAACCAGGAGATCAGGGTTCGATTCCCGGTCAGGGCACATACCGGGGTTGCGGGCTTGACAGCCGATCAATGATTCTCTCTCATCATTGATGTTTCTATCTCTCTCCCTGTCTCCCTTTTTCTCTGAAATCAATAAAAAGATATATTTTTAAAAGAAATCTGTTTAAAATGCAGTATCTTCTGTTGGATGTAAATGCACTCTGAAGCATCCCTATGATGAGCCTCTCACAACTGGGTTTGACTGTGAAACTCCACTCACCACCCTGTGCTTCAGGACAGTGGTGACCGGCAGCTTTAAATCAGACTCCGAAATGCCGTGCTGTTTCCCGTGTTTTTGAAAATACGGGTGAAAGAGATTGTCTTGAAAATAACGTTTTAAGATGTTATTGTCAGACCTCAGTTTCCCAGACCTGCCCCCGACAGCCACCCTGGAGAAGCCCGCTGCACACTCACGCCCACGTGAGCACGTGTGTAAAGCACAGAGCAAAGGGGAAGAGGACACGTGGGTAATGACGACGGTGACGCTGGCTCATGGGATTAGGAGTGATTTCTGCTCCTTTATTTTCTCAAAGTTTTTAAGTGTTAGGAAAACATGAGCAGAAAAACATTGCCCTGCCCGCTGTGGCCCAGTGGTTAGAGCATGGGCCCGAGCACTGAAGGGGCTTGGGTTTGAGTCCCGGTCTTGGGCACATACCTAGGTTGCAGGTGTGATCCCCAGTCCCGGGTGGGGCATGTCCGCGAGGCAGCCAATAGATGTGTCTGTCTCACATCGTTGTGTGTGTGTCTCTCTCTTTTCTCTTCCCTTCCACTCTCTCTAAAAATCAATGGAAACGTTATTCTCGGGTGAGGATCAGCAACAAGAAATGATTTGCGAAGGCAACTTGCTGGGAAGGTAACTAAGCCTGTCACTGAGTCTGTGTCCCGCAGCCCCAGGACGCCGAGGCCGAAGCCGAGACCCCGGAGGACGACCTCAGGCTGCGCGTCCGGCGGCTCCGCCACCAGGTGCTGACCCTGCAGTGCCAGCTCAGGGACCAGGCGTCCGCGGGCCGGCAGCTGCAGGCGGCCCGCGACCAGGCCCTCCGTCGCCGGGACCAGCTCCAGGGCCAGGTAGGCGGGCAGGGCGGCCTCTCTCGCAAACCGGTGGCCCCACCTTCCGGGAAGTTTTGAGAACGGAAAAAGGAACCAGGTCAGACCTCACTGGCCATTTCCAGCAACTGGTTAGTATTTATTAGATTTACAAAGTACAGGGCAGCATAGAGAGAAACTCCATCCAGCTCACCTGCTCATTCTAAAAAGAACACAGATCCTGTGGCTTCGGACCTGTTCAGGGACCTGCCTGTGTGTGGGAAACGTGAAGCTACACAGGTGATAAAACTGTACAGAGCCCGGTACACAGACACAGATACACACAGACACACAGATAGACACACACAGACACAAACACACATAGACACACAGACACACACATATACACAAACACAGATACATAGACAGACATACACACACACACAGAGACACATAGACATACACATATACAGACACAGATACACAGACACATACAGAGACACATACAGACACACAGACATACACACAGACACAAACACACATACACATAGACATACACAGAGACACATAGACATACACATATACACAGACACAGATAGACAGACACACACACAGAGATAGACAGACACACACAGACACACAGAGAGACAGACAGACACACACACAGAAGTACAAGTTAAACTGGAGAAACCTGAATAAAGCTGGTGGAATGTATCAATATAATGGAACTGACATTATTTGGCTGCAAAATGCTCCCTTCAAGGGAAACCAGCAAAATATATGAAATATTGGGGGACTTTGATGACTTCTTACAGCTGCATGTAAAGCTGTAATCATCTCAATTTTTAAAATGTGCTTCCTGGAGACACGTAAGTCTTTGGAGAAATGTCTATGCAGATCCTCTGTGCATTTTGTAGTTGCCTTTGCTGTTGTTGAGCTGTAAGAATTTGTTATGCACCCTAGATACGAGCCCCTTATTAGATACCTGATTTGGAAATGTTTTCTCTTCTCCTGCTGTCTTTTCACTTCCTCTCGTTAACTTTGTGACTGGAAGGGCCCGGTACCCAGTTCACGGCCACAGTCAGGCCGCCTCCTAAACTGAAGCAGAGAGAAGGCTTCCCCCGCGCCTGCCCATCATCGAGTGCCTCTCAGTGTCAGACAGTCCGCTAGGAGCTGGCCTTTCACTCTGAGCATATCCCGAAAGGAGCCAAAACACATATACAGTGGTCACTGGTCTGTAGATAAAGAAGCAGAAACAATATACATTTTCATAAACAAGAATTAGCTAATAAATTATGTTTCAGCCTCATGATGAAATAATATGCAAGATTTTAAAAGAATGTGATCAATTTGTGTTGACATGGAAATAACACCACGATATTAAATCAAATGAAAAAAACAAGATGAGCCCTAGACGGTTTGGCTCAGTGGATAGAGCGTCGGCCTGTGGACTGAAGGGTCCTGGGTTTGATTCCCGTCAAGGGCACATGCCCGGGTTGCAGGCTCTATTCCCATTGTGGGGCGTGCAGGAGGCAGCCGATCAACGTGTTTCTCTCACATCAATGTTTCTCTCCATCTTTCTCTCTCTCTTCCACTCTCTAAAAATCGATGGAAAAATATCCTTGGGTGAGGATTAACAACAACAAAACAAAACAAACAAACAAACAAAAAACAACACAAGATGTAAGGTGTTCTGCATGTGGTTTCAAGCCCCCCCCCGCCCCCCCCCCACATTCTAATTACGGGCGTGTGCTTAGGATCTGAGGTGGGGAGGAGAAGAGGGGCTTTTGCTGGTAGGGACAGGAGAGGGAGTGAAAAGAACTCGACGCCCACCGTGGCACGGCCTGTGAGGTTGTGGGTCAGGCACTCGGGCGGCCTTGCCGGGCGTCCTGCTGCACAGGCACCCGGGACCCCTCAGTTCACCGGCCGCTGGGCTGGGCTGGGCTGGGCTGGGAGGCCCAGGTGGCATCTCTCCGTGCCTGGCCCCTCTGGCCCGGATGGTCGCCCTGGCTTACAGTCCTTGGGTGCCGACCGGGTGCCAGGCCTGGTCCTAAGCACTTCGCAGGAGTCGTTCACGGTGCCCTGGCTGCAGTCACCCCTGCATGGGCCCCAACGTCACCCACACCCCAGATGGGAAGACGGAGGCAGAGAGAGGAGTTCGCACAAGGTCACAGGTCCAGGGAGTGGCCGGGCCGGGAGGAGGACCCCGGGCATCTGGCCGGGAACCGCAGGTTTAAGTGGCGCCAGAGGCTCCGGCACCCGGTGGGGACCTGGGAAGGCCTCCTTCCGGAAGGGGGCGGTGGCGGAGCTGGCACGCGGGGCTCACTCACCCGTGCCCAGGGCGCCCCTGCCTCCCGACCCTGCCGAGGTGACAGGTGACGGGAAAGGCCGCGAGAATTCCTGTGGGAGAGGAGGGGACAGGAGCCGGCCTGGGTGAGCCACCCGTGGGGGACGGAGGGGCTGTGGGACAGCGGCTCAGCCCTGGCAACACGTGTCTTTTCAGGTGGACGAACTTCAGATAAAGCAACATGAGGCAGTCTTGGCTGTGACCCCTTTGAAGGTAAGACATGTGTGCAGTCGGTAGAGAAGTTCTCTCTCAGAAAAGGCCGGTATTTTCCCGTTAGAGACGTGGCCCATCTCTGTCCTGTGGCAGTCCTGGGAGGAAGGACAGACAAAGCTCACTCCCAGTTCCCACGGACTCCGGCGTGCTCCGTTCCCGGGTGTCTCACACGGGGCGCTCGGGCCCACTGCCGGGAGACTGACGTGCCAACAACCCTGACCCCATGGGAGGGCAGTGCCACCCCCTCCCCCGGAGCGGAGGGCACCCGGGGGGCCTGTCACCCCTCCGGACACGCGCAGACTTTTCATGGTGGGAGGGGCACTCACGCGTGTCGCTCATGTAACAAACCCGTCCCGAGGGCCGCACGGTGCCCGGTGATGACACAGCTTTGGCCTTGAGGCGCTGCCAGGCTGTGTGGAAGGCAGGTCCACAATGTAAATTACCTGCAGGGATAGCCGGAAGCCGGAAGCCAGGGCACAGAGGGATGCCCAGCCCTGAGCATCAGGGAGGCCTGAGGGGAGGCGACACCCGGGGAGGTGACACCCGGGGAGGCGACACCGGGGAGGCGACACCAGGCTGGCCTCTGGAGAGGTGGTTAGGCTCTTCTCGGCTTGGGACGTGTGGGAGCCACAGAGGAGTGAGCAGGAAGTTCTGGGGTTGGGCTGGGGGTGACCAGTGTGGCGGGAACAGGAGGGAGAAGGAGGCCGGGTCACGATGGGGCTGGAAGGGTGCAGGCAGGTCTAAGAGTCAGTGGTGGCGGGGGGCAGGAATGGCTGGGCTCCGGGACCTGCGTGGCTGGCCCTGTGTGGGTGCCTGGCCTGGACTGTCTCCTTTGGTCCTGGTGCCCTTAGCGATGCCCACTGTACAGAGGAGCAAGGCGAGGTGCAGAGAGAAGCTTGGCCACATCGCTGGTCAGTGGCAGAGCCTGAGCCCACACCTTCACCCATCTGGAGGGCCATCAGAAGGCAGTGGGAGCCCCTGGGGGGCAGCGTTGGGGGGAGGGGGCAGCTTGCTGTCAACTCAGTAACTGTCAGCACGACTCTGGCTTCCGGGTGGAGGGAGGGGCGAAGGGAGGGCTGCGCTGGATGGGGCTGGGGATGCAGAGCAGGGAGCCGACGCCGCAGCCCCTGGGAGCCCTGCGTCCGAGGACCCACCTGCTGCGTCCTCGTCCCACAGGCCAAGCTGGCCTCCCTGGTCCAGAAGTGCCGGGACAGGAACCACCTGCTCACGCGCCTGCTGCGGGAGCTGTGCCGCCACGGGCCGGCCGATCGCCTGCTCTGCCAGACGGTGCGCAGCATGGTGGACGACGTGGCGCTGGCCGAGTACACAGCCACCTTCCTGGCTCCCGGGGCCCCAGAGGTCAGTTCCCAGAGGCAGCCCTGTCCCTCTTCCTGTGGGGCCTGTGGGCAAGTGACCCGGTCCACCCGCCTGGCCTGCACTGTCCCCCCCTTTCTCCCTCTGCCCACTGACGCCGCGGGGAACGCGCCCTGAACGCCTCCTCTGTGCCGGCACCTGTGCTCGGGGCTGGCATGGGAAGGGCGTCCGGCCGTCCTTACTCGTAAAGTGCTCACCACACGATGCAGGAGACAGACGCACAAACAGCGGCTTGAGTTCAGTGTCACGCTAGCCCTGTGCCATTGCTTCACCAGAAGGCTCTCTCCCATGTGCCTCAGGACCTTAGCATGTGCTGCTTCCTCTGGCAAGATTCTTGTTTGCCCTCCAGCCTCCTATCCACCCTTCAGGGCACAGTTCGAGTGCAACCTTGCCCAGGGAGCTCGCTCTGAATCCCCCAGAGCACAGAGCTAGCTACACTCCCTCTGACCTCCGAGGCACGTGGCTATGCCTGAGGGGTAACATGGGAGGAATTCCCCCCTGATGTGGCGGGAGTTTGGCTGGCACCTCTCTGTTGGGGCCAGAGCCGCTCCACAGCCACCTCTGTCTCCGTGGTGCCTGGCACAGAGAAGCTGCGCGGGGAGTTTTCAGGTGAATGAATGAAATCATGAGTTAAAGGAAGGAGGATCTCCTCTCCTAACGGTCAGTGAAAGAGGAAACAGGCTCAGAGAGGTTGGGAGTCTCACTCAAGGTCACACAGCCCCCAGGTGGTGCAGCAGGTGATGAAAGCCAGTTCTGCCCCAGGTCTGGTAACAGTGCTCCTGGGTCTGCCTGGCCCTGAACAGCAGTGCCTGGTGTCCGTGTGTGCGCAGCACCCACGGGTGCTCAGCCAAGCCTGCCCACACCCACTTGCATGTGCGCGCGCACACACACACACACACACACACTCACACACAGGTGTGCAACCCCATTCAGAGGACCAGCCAGCAATGGCATGCGGGTGCATTGCAGCTCCTGCTGCGGGCACAGCAGCCCTGGTTTCCTGGCTCCTGCTCTCGGCAGCTGAGCACCAGGCCTGCATCTCCCCCTCCGCCTCCCCAGCCCAGCCTCTGCAAAGCCCACCTTCTCCATCCGTCCTTCCCCACGGCCTGCGGAGAGCTGACCCTGGTCCAAGCCTAGCCGGCGGAGCAGATGGAGACCTGGAGGCCGCGGGCTGCTCGGGGCCACACGGCGGCTTGGTTCAGAGCAGCCTTTGAATCCACAGCCTCAGACCCCAGCCCAGGGCTGGTCTCTTCCCACCTCTCAGGGCCAGAGGGTTTTGAGGGACTTGGCCAGCGTGCTGTTGGAAGGGCTGGCGCAGTTGACTGAGGCAAACTGAAGCCAAGTTTCAGGGCCTGAGACCCAGGAGGAGTCAGTCACCTGGGAGGGAGGAGTCAGGGCAGGAGAGCCCCGCCCTCCAGGGCTGCTCCAGTCCTGCAGGCTCTGAACATAGAACTGAAACGGCTGCTGGGATTGCACAGGCTGACCTACAGGGACCAAATTCACAGAGACTGAGGTATAAACCCGCAAGCGAATTTCTTCATTTCCTCTGAGAAACAGGACGATGCACAGGCTGGAGTGACCAGTGGGTGGATGGGAAAATGTCAGCATGGCCTGCCCTCTAGTGGAATCATCGGTCAGGCTCATTCATTCATTCATTCATTCATTCATTCATTCATTCATTTGTCGGAGATGAGCATTTACGATCAGAGGTTGCTTGGGGGCCTAGGATGGGGACAGGGAGCCAGGTGCCCTCAGCCTGATGTATTATTTCCTGGAAGGAGGTGCCCCTGTTCCTGGACACGTCTCCCCGCGGCCGGGGGTCTCCCCTGGGCCTTTTGAAGGGCCATGGCCAGTTACAAGCTTCCACTCCCTCCTAAGGCGACCGAATCTGCAGACCCGTCTTGCTTTATTTTACAATTCAGCTCTCCAAGAATACCCCCACTTTCATGGCCTGGGACGCCTCACTGTTCCCCCCACAAACCACAAAACCCGGCTCTGCCACTTCATCCCACAAACGTTGACTGGGCACACTGGAGCTTGCCTTCCTCGGGCAGGGGCGGGGCTGGGCCAGCAGCATGTCTTCTGGCCACAGCCCCCGGGAGGCGGTGAGCAGCCAGGAAGCTGCGGTGCGGACTCCTCCCGCCCGCTCTGCCTCTTCCCTCCTCCTCCTGGGAACGTCCCGCTCTCCTCTGGGTGTCAGTCAGCAAGACCCAGACACGGGCCTGCAGAAGTGGAGGCTCATCTTAAAATTCCGCAGCGAGACCCAGAGCCCTACACACCCCTCAAACCAGCAGCCCAGGCTGGGCCTCCAGGGGTCCAGGCAAATCTTTTCCCTTTAGCGCCTGCCTTTCAGGAAGTTTAGAATATTCCCCCACAATGTATGTGGCGGGGCGAGGCCTTAAAGGGGGGACCTGATCTGCCTGGACTGCCTCTCTTGTGGGGCAGTTAGCAGACCTCCGTTCTCATTTGGTTCCGACTAAACCCTGCGAGGAAGTGTTAGTGCCTCCACCTGCAGGCGGAGAGGGCGGCGGGGGGGGGGGCGGGGGCACCTGACCTGGCCAGTGAGCGGCAGGGCAGATGCCCCTGCGCAGGCCTGGCCCGGCCTCCCCCGCGCTGGTCTGTGGGCAGGAAGCGGGGGGACTCTGCCTGCCGGCCCTGCCCTGTCTGGTCGTAGTCACCGTATAGCTCCCTTGGGTCATGCAGGATAACTGCGGGGTGTCTCTTCTTCCAGACCAGCCGCCACCCGGCCCTGGAGCAGGAGACGTTGGCGGCTGTGACAGGTCAGTGCGGCTCAGGTAGGACCAGCCCTGGGCTCTGATCTGCCGGAGGTAGCGGGCAGGAAAACACCCATGTCCAGTGCAGACCAGGAGGAACCTAGCTGCTCCCCCCCCTTCCCTACGCACTCTGCCTTCCAGCGTCACGACTTAGGAGGACAGATTAGAAAAATGCTGCCGCGGCAACATGGCCCCGCGCCTCCGCCCGCAGTTTCCCTTGTTCACCTGAAAATGAAACGCCTTTCAAAGCGAGAGGCAACGGGCGTGTGTGTGTGTGTGTGTGTGTGTGTGTGTGATGGACAGGATAGGAGAGCAACCGAAACGCTAACAATGGGTGCTTACAAGGTGGTCACGTGGGTGCTTTTTTGTTCCGCTGTTTTTACTGTTAACAAGGAAAGTAAGCTGCTGCCTGGCCAGACAGCAGGTCTTGGCGTCAGTGCGGTGTGCTCCCAGCTGAGGCGTGGGGCGCTGAGGGTTTCCTTGGGGTTATGTTCCTACGAGGTGCTCCTTAAACACGCGGAGGAAGTGTGGGTGGTGTTGCCTTCAGGTAACCGAGCTCCGCTTGAGACCTGCTCAGGGCGCGTTCTTATTACGAGGTTCTGTTCTTACCAGCTGGGGGATCTTGGATGAGTTCATTGACCTCTCTGAGCCCCAGACGCTGATCTTCAAAAGGCGGGTAATGTGACCTTTCTCGGGAGTGTCTAGTGCAGGGGTGGGCAAACTTTTTGACTTGAGGGCCACAATGGGTTCTTAAACTGGACCGGAGGGCCGGAACAAAAGCATGGATGGAGTGTTTGTGTGAACTAATACATGTTAACACTGCTGCTGGTGAAGGAGCGGAGGGGAGAGCAAGAGAACCCTCCGCTCTTTCGGCTCCACGGGCCGGATAGAACAGCCGAACGGGCCGGATCCAGCCCGCGGGCCGTAGTTTGCCCACGGCTGGTCTAGTGCCTGACCCAAGAGGAGGGATTTGTCCTCAGGTTTTAGCAGATCTGTTTTCACAGTTGGAGGGGCATGGATTTTGGTGCTCCTGCTTTTGCCACTCATTTGTGTAAGTCTCCTTCCTTGTCTGGGCTCAGCTTCCTCAACCTTAAAAGAAGGAAGTGGGGCGGCCGATTTGGCTCAGTGGTTGAGTGTTGACTTAGGATCCAACAGGTCACCAGTTCGATTCCCGGTCAGGGCGCATACCCGGGTTGTGGGCTCGATCCCCAGTAGGGGGTATAGAGGGTGTGCAGGAGGCAGCCAATCAATGGTTCTTTCTCATCGATGTTTCTATTCTCTATCCTCCCTTCTCGTTCTCTAAAATCAATAAAATACATATTTTAAATAAACAAAGGAAGGAAGGAAGAAAGGAAGGAGAAAGAAAGGAGGAAGGAAGGAGGAAGGAAGGAAGGAAGAAGGAGGAAGGAAGAAGGAGGAAGGAGGAAGAAGGAGGAAGGAAGGAAGAAGGAGGAAGGAAGGGGGAAGGAAGGAGGAAGGAAGGGGGAAGGAAGGAGGAAGGAAGGGGGAAGGAAGGAGGAAGGAAGGGGGAAGGAAGGGGGAAGGAAGGGGGAAGGAAGGAGGAAGGAAGGAGGAAGGAAGGAGGAAGGAAGGAGGAAGGAAGGAGGGAAGGAGGAAGGGGAGGAGGAAGGGAAGGAAGGAGGAAGGAGGAAGGAAGGAGGAAGGAAGGAGGAATGAAGGAGGACGGAAGGAAGGAGGAAGGAAGGAAGAAGGAGGAAGGAAGGAGGAGGAAGGAAGGAGGAAGGAAGGAGGAAGGAAGGAGAAAGGAAGGAGGAAGGCGGAAGGAACGGAAGGGAAGGCGGAGGGAAGGAAGGAGGAAGGAAGAAGAAGGAGGAAGGAAGGGGGGAAGGAAGGAGAAGGAAGGAGGAAGGAGGAAGGAAGGAAGGAGGAAGGAGGAAGGAAGGAGGAAGGAAGAAGAAGGAAGGAGGAAGGAAGGAGGAAGGAAGGAGGAAAGGAAGGAGGAAGGAAGGAAGGAAGGAAGGAAGGAGGAAGGAGGAAGGAAGGAAGGGAAGGAAGGAGGAAGGAAGAAGGAAGGAAGGAAGGAGGAAGGAGGAGGAAGGAAGGAGGAAGGAAGGAGAAGGAAGGAGGAAGGAAGGAAGGAAGGAAGGAGGAAGGAGGAAGGAGGAAGGAGGAAGGAGGAAGGAGGAAGGAAGGAAGGAGGAAGGAAGGAAGGAAGGAAGAAGAAGAAGGAAGGAGGAAGGAAGGAAGGAAGAAGAAGGAGGAGGAAGGAGGAAGGAAGGAGGAAGGAAGGAGGAAGGAAGGAGGAAGGAAGAAGGAAGGAAGAAGGAAGGAAGAAGGAAGGAAGAAGAGAAGAAGAAGGAAGGAAGGGAGGGGGAAGGGAGGGGGAAGGGAGGGGGAAGGGAGGGGGAAGGGAGGGGGAAGGGAGGAGGAAGGGAGGAGGAAGGGAGGAGGAAGGGAGGAGGAAGGAAGGAAGGAGGAAGGAAGGAAGGAGGAAGGAAGGAAGGAGGAAGGAAGGAGGAAGGAAGAAGGAGGAAGGAAGGAAGGAGGAAGGAAGGAGGAAGGAAGGGAGGAGGAAGGAAGGAGGAAGGAAGAAGGAGGAAGGGAGGAGGAAGGAAGAAGGAAGGAGGGTACTAGATTGACTGAGTCACTTACTCTTTCCGTGTTGCTGGGAGGCTGCTGTGCGCTCCCAGGCAGGTGTCGTTTATAAAGATGAGCCGGTCCCAGTGCAGAAGGGCCCGCGGCCAGGCAGGGAAGGCGAGGCAGGGGAAGGCAGTGTTTAGGCTGCCCACGACCACGACAGAACCATCAGAGGCATATGGAGGAGGCGCTTGGAGGAACCCAGACCCCTGAGAGGTCTGAGTCATGGGCGTGGGGCTCAGGGACTTGCTGACTTTGTGGACTTCTGGCTGAGGCTTGACCGAGACCGTTCTCTTCCAGCTCAAAACTCTCTCCTGAACCCTGAAGTGGACAGCGCCCTCCCAAGACCGTGGCGTCCTGAGCCCTGGCCCGTGACTGAGGCGGAGTGGCCAGCACTGACAGCGCGACTGGATCCTCTGGAGGTGAGAGGGTGTTCTTAAATACACTTTCCACGGGAGGTGTAGCACACACACAGAGGAGGGCACAAAGCGTCCGAGTGCAGCTCCGTGAACATCTTAGTGCGCCACACCCCCGTGAAGGCACCCCGAGGTCAAGAAGGAGAAAATGGCCAACACCACGAAGACTGGTTTCCTGTCATCACCTCTTTCTATTGTCTGTGTTTTTATTGGTTTGAGAGAGAGAGGAAGGAAGAGGGAGAGAGAGATAGAAGCATCAATGAGAGAGAATCATCGAGCGGCTGCTTCCTACATGCCCCCTACTGGGGATCCAGCCCACAACCCTGGGGCACGGGCTCTGACTGGGAATAGAACCGCGACCTCTTGGTGCACGGGACAATGCTCAACCACTGCGCTACACTTGCCGGGCTCATTTGCGTTTCTTACTAAATCATGTGTTTTGTGTCTGGTTATTTTTCAGTGAGTGCTGGACATTGTGTGTGAAAACTTGTGCAAAAATCGTAATCTGAGGTTGAGCTTGAGATTGTCTTTATCCAGAGAGGATTCCTGTAGCTTCTGACAGGCAGCTGGGCCCGTGCAGACCATGCCTCACATCGGCTGCTTCAGTACTTGGGGGGTCTGCGTCCTTTCTTGCCCCCGCTTATTCCTAGGGCATAGCCTTTCAGGATCCTAGGCAAAGCCTGTCGTGTTTATCAGCGTCCTTCCCCCATGGCCCCTGGAGCTCTGCTTGGCTTCCCACCGCTCAGCTGCCACCCTCACGAGCAGACCCGCCTTCACCTGCCGCATAGGGGTCAGGCGGCCTCCAGGCCTGTGCCAGCTGTTCCTGGCTTCTCTCCTGCTTCCGGCGATCGTCCCACAAATCCGCACAGTCCCTGCCCGGAGCTCTCAGATGGTGCAAACAGTTCTTTTGTTATATTTCGTTCCGCTCTCCCCATTGTACTTCCTGGAGGTTTGGTCCAGAATGCCCTACTCGGTCAGAGCCAGAGCAGCTCTCTGTGTTCAGAGAAAACTGACTTGACTAATTCTGAGCTGTGGAGTCTGACTGGCCTGAGTTCAAATCCCAGCTGTGATTCAGGGGGTGCTGGGCGGGTTCCCTCATGCGCCTAACTCCCCTCACCTGGGGACCGGGGCTAATGCTGCTGCTGACAGGAGGGTGGAGTCAGGTAAGCAGGGCTGAAGATGGGTCTGGAACATGACAGAGGTACTGCCCAGCACAAGGGATGTGTCTAGTGATGACAGCTATTGTCACTGACCTGGAACCCTTTTCCCTGACCAGTGGCTTTCCTTGTAAATCACGTGTCTACAGGCTGATCACCCAGGCATACGACCTTCTTCCCAGCTTGGCTCGTTTTCTAGGAAAATTACCTCTGACATTTGACCTTTGACCTGTACTATCTCGGGCAGGTAGAAGGCAAAGAAAGGAACAGCACCTGCAAAGTTGGAGGGGCGAGGAGGGGTGAATTACGGGGGGAGGAGGGGGGCGCTGCCAGCATCAAACGTGGCTGCCGCGTGCAGCGCGAGGTGTAGACGGGAGGCTCAGAGGCCACAGGGATGCTGCTGCTAAGAACAGAATGAGAAAGGGCCTCCCCCCATCATTTCCTGAGTGCTCCCCGGTGCCGGGCCTGTGTGTGCAATGCGTGAGCTCACACAGGACTCACCTGGGCCACCACGTGGCTCTCATCACTAGCTCGACGTGACCTGGGAGAAGGGGGAGCACAGAGAGGTGGGTCACCGACCCAGGTCACACGGAGAGTACGGGGCAGAGCTGGGGTTCCCCCCGGGGCACCTGGCTCTGGAGTGGCGCTCTGGTCATCAGGTGGCCCGACGGTGCTGGGCCGTCACTGGTGGGGGACGGGAGATAGGAGAGGTCCGGCCTGCGCCCCTGGATGCTCCAATCCGGAGTTCCCTGAGGGGGACTCTAAACGTCTCCTCCAGGGGATCCTGCCGGCAACCCCCTGGCAAGCCTGTGAGGGAGCAGTCAGAGCGGAAATGAAAGAAGCGGGTGAACCCAGGAGCGTGTTAACCCTCCTGGCGCCAAGCTTCTCACTGGACATCACGGATGGAAACTCTTCCTTGATTGGACTTGGTTTCAAGTCCACAGGACACTCCGGCTTCTTCGTAGTTCGATGGCAGGTGTCCACGTGGGCCTTTTGCCTCCATCCCATGTTCACAGAGAAACTGGCCCACAGGCAGCGTCAGAAAGGCCTCATCGGGTGAACAGTTAGAGGGGGAGGGGCCTTCCTGTTGGGCTATTTCTCTGGAAGACCATGCAGGAGCCTCGTTCTCACGGCCACACCGCACGCCCCGCAGCCCTGGCTCTGTCCGCTGTGATGGGCGTGGAGGACGGCTCTGGGCGGGACAGCCCGATTGCAGGCTGGATTCCTGGGCAAGAGCTTCCTGCGGTGAAACCCAGTTTGTTAAGTAACGACACCAGGGGAGTGGTGGCCTCTAAGCAAAACGAGGTCATATTTGAAGGGCAGTGACTACATTTGTCACATGTCACCATCGTTGTATGGTTGAGCTTAGAGAGAAAGAAAGGAAGGCGGGGGAGCCTGAAAACATACAAAAATATCCTGGAAGGGTTGGCAAGCTTTTGATGATTGAGTGAATGTTGCTCTCCCACCGAAGACCCTTCATCCATCCCCGTGGGCAACAGCAGACTGTAGCGGCGAATAGCGCGGGCTGGGGGGCCATGCAGTCTGGGTTCAAAACCTCGCTCTGCCTCCTTGGTAGCTGTGTGGCCTTGGGCAAGTCACTTCACCTCTCTGGGCCTCTGTTTCTTCATCTGGGTAACTGGATAATATCACTTACCTCTTCTGGTTAAAGAGCAAACGACACATATACATGAATTGCTTAGGACGGTGTCTGGCACGTCGTAAGAGCTCAGCAAATGTTCACTGTCATGGGTTGAACCATATGAAATTGCTGATGTTATACCACCCTCTTCCTATAAACTCAGGGTTTCAGATGGTTTAAATTAGTATTATTATTGCAAGACTAGAGGCCCCATGCACTGATTCGTGCACTGGTGGGGGGGCGTGACCCGTGGGGATCAGCCCACTGTGGGATCGCTGCTCATCCCGGTCAGCCTAGCGGCTGCGGGCCTGCCCTCTGAGCGGCTGCTCCCCCTGTGGGAGCGCACTGACCACCAGCTCCTGTGTTGAGCATCTGCCCCCTGGTGGTCAGTGCACGTCATAGTGACTGGTTGTGCTGTTCGGTCGCTGGGCTTTTATAATATAGGTAAAGTTCAGACTCCTTAAGTGGTGGCTGACATTCTATGTGCACATTGTTCTGTGGAGAATGGCTTCAGTTTTTAGCAGGTAACAGAGTCCCGCCCCCAAACCCGCTCAGACACCACTCCTCCAGCAGGCCTCCCCTCCCGAGTGTGCAATCAGGTTCCCTCCTGGGCGCGCCACGGCACCTGTGGCCTCCCTCCCAGCCCCGTGGCAGGGACTGGGCCAGGTGAGGCGCACAGGGGGTGCTCCTTGGTCACCAGTCCCTCCTCCCTGCTCTGCCTTTCTCAGGCAGCTTCCCCTGACACGGGAGGGTGCTGAGCAGGAAACCCTGCTCACTGCTCACTGCCTCCTGGGACCACGGGGCGGCGGGGGGAGGGTTGCTCCCTTCTGCCTATATCACTGGTGGCCACACCTCTCAGAGGCCTGAGCGGGGGGCATACGTAGGACTCATTACTGAGCGCAGCGGGCCAGCCCGTCATTAGCAGGGAAGGTGCTGGGTGAGTGGGAGATGCTGAGTGTGAAGGGCTCACATGCGTGTAATAGCTGCGGGTGGAGATTAGAGAGTCCGGGGCTTTGAAGTCAGGGGGCTGGGACTTGCACATGGAGCCAGCCACCTCCGAGCTCCCAGAGTTTAGGTGAGCAATGGGGAGGCTCTGAAACAGGTAACCGTTTCCTCATCTGTAACTGAGGCCCGATGCTGGCCTGCTGGGAGGACTGAATGAGAGCATGTGAAATGGCACATTGGCGAGAACCCCAGACAGGGCTGGGCTGGGCTGGGCAGGGCTGGGCAGGGCTGGGCAGGGCATGGGAGGGCAGGGCAGGGCAGGGCAGGGCAGGGAAGGGCAGGAGGCTGGCGTCTGGGAGGCAGTGGCTCCCTCCTGATGGGAAGGTCACTACCTCTTGTCACTGGGAACAGGGAAGGTTGCGGAGGATCCGCTCCATGGGGCTGCCCACCAGGTGTCTGGGCAGCACCCCCTGGATGACATGGGGTGCGAGCCCCCCACCTTCTCTGGCTCCCCTGTGCCCCGCGGGGGTGGTGTAGGCCTCAGTGAACTTACCAGAAGGACGTGAGCTCAGGCGTGAGGAGTGTTTGGGGTCAGGCACGGAAAGTGCCTGGTACATGGTAGCTGTCCTCGCCACCTTCCCTTGGGAAAGGGGGGATCGAGGGCCACAGGGAGCAGACCTTTCATGATGCTTCCGCCTCCAGCCTCCCCAGCCTCCGGGGCCGACGCCTGATCCTGGACCTCGCCCGGCCGTGACCAATGAGGCACCGGGACTCCCAGCGCAGCGTCTGCAGGAGAGAGGCGGGGTGTCCTGCGCTGCCCCCCAGGCCGCCGCCCCCCCGCCCTCTGAGCTGCGGAGCCCCGCCCGGATCCTGGCCTTCCACCGGGAGCTCGGCCGGAGTGTCCGCGGCTGCCCCCGGGTCACCGAGTCTCCGCTGGAGCTGGAGCCCTCGCCGCCACTCCGGCCGCCCCGCGGGCTGTGAGTGTGGGATGCGGAGCCCTCCCAGGCACCGTGAGAGATCGCAGCCTCGGAGCCTGGCTCGGCGGCCAGTGGTCCTGCCTGGGCAGCCTGTGGTGGTTGTCAGAGCTCAAGGGGACCCCCTGACGGGCCTTGCAAATTCGGAGCAGCTTGGCTTTGGCCAACGCGGGGCAGCAAAAGGGGTGCTGACTGGACCCAAACCCACCCAGTGACTGGCCCGGGGCCTCAGTCTGGGCCTGACTCTGTCCCCCCCGGAGGCAGACTTGGCAATGTCCGGAGACGTTTGTGTTGTCACAACCAGGAAGCTGCTCCTGGCATCTAATGGGAAGAAGCCAAAGATGCTGCTGAGTATCCCACAATGCACGGCGGCCCCCGGACAGAGCAGCCTCTCCCGCGTGTCGGCAGAGCTGGGCCAGGAGGCCCCGGGCTGGTCTCACGGCGCCTAACACCGTCCGCCCTGAGGACTTTTTGTTACTTTCCTGCCCCTGGGACCTCTCCCCCAGATTGCAAGAGATTTTTGTCTACCAGATGAAAGGCTTGATTGAAGTAATTCTATATTTTACATTTTAAAACAATAAAAACCCATCAGTACTTTCTAATCAGCCATTCCTTCAGCGTTGGCGGACACCCAGCATTTGCCGGGCAGCGTGGTGCGAGGAGGAGCGAGGTGAGTCCACGTTGGTCCCGGTCCCAGGAAGAGGCACATGCAGACACATCACAGGCAGTCAGTCGGACGTGAATGCAACACGATGTGTGCCAAAGGGCAGGGCCGGTTCTGCCTGGCTCCAGGAAGGCATGGCTGGCTGGGCAAGGCCCCGAGGCCCAGTGAGGTGTTCAACACCTGGGCGAGGGGGGAAGGGTGTCACAGCAGAGGGAACAGCATGTGCAAAGGCTCTGGGGCATGCCATGCAGCCCTGGGTGTGCCGCTGGTGAAGGAGTGTGCACAGCAGCTCCCTGCTGAGCCAGCTGCAAGGGGTCGCTGCCTTACCCCCACCCAGCACCCCTGCCTTCGCCTATACTTGGGGGTGGAAGAAGAACCCCCATCCTGAGGGTAGGCTGCCCGGAAAGAGAATCCAGGGAACTTGGGCCATACCTGCCCAGACCCTCCCCCGGGCTCATCAACCAGAGACCTGGTCTCTCTCCCTGGGAGCGGGCTGGGAAGGGCTGGAGGGAAGGGTCAGTTATCTGCCCATTCTGTTCCTTCCTGGATGCCGGGGCCATGTTGGGTCAAGGAGGCACCAGGACAAGAAACTGAGGGCTCCCCACAACCCCCAGCAGTAGGCAAAACACACGGAATTTAAATGAATGTATTTTAACTTTTTATGTTGCAATGAAGTGCAGAGTTCCACACACCCTCCCCCAGCTTCCCCGATGTTAACGTATTTGGTACCTAACCGTAGTACCATACGATAAGCAAGGTGATGGAGTGAGCGTCAGCCCGCTGAGCTGCCAGCCTCTCACGGAGCCCGCGGGGCCCTGGGATCCCGCCCATGGGCATCATGTCCATCCACATCTCTGGATTGATGGGCCCGTGGACCCTCCCATCCATTTGCTCAAGAGACAGTGGGCCTGGCTCTGTGCTTTAAGCTGCACTGGCTTGTCTCATCCTTCCTAAGATGTGAGGTCCTGTACATGGTCCCATTTTACAGATGAGAACACCGAGGCCCAGAGCTGAACTTGCCCGAGGTCACATAGAGAGGGCATGCAGGGCACAGTTTGAAGCCAGAGCCTGCTTTGAGCCATTCCGTCACTGCTCTCAAGGACGGCGGGCCAGGCAGAGGGGACAGGAGGGCAAGAGCTGAGAGGCAGGGCCCTGGTGTGGTGACCGTGTGGCTGGAGCAGAGGGCGGATGGGCTGAAGGGGGTGTCGGTCAGATCCCTGCGGCTGAAGGCCAGTGCCGCTGGGGCTGCATCCTGCAGATCTGCACTCCCGGGCGGAAGAAGTAGGCGGAATGTCTTTCCCGTGTCCAGCAGGAATGCCTTTGTGTCTGGAAACGCTTTCTCTGGATGCCGTGGATGCCGGCCTTCCCCACGCAGGGGTGGCAAGTTGTACTTGAAGATACATTGACGCCACCCACAGCTAAGGATCGGCACCGCGCCTCCACCCAAACCCTCAGACTCACCCTGTCAGCTGAATCCTGTTATTCTCATCATTTTCCACCAAGAAAGCTGAGGCATGGAGGGGCAGAGCCACTTGCCGGAGGTCATGCAGCTGGAGGTCACGCAGCAGGAGGTCACGCAGCAGGAGGTCACACAGCTGGATGTCATGAGGCTGGAGGTCACACAGCTGGAGGTCATGCAGCTGGAGGTCACGTGGCTGGAGGTCACGCAGCTGGAGGACCCAGCCCATACGGACTAGCTCAGCCTCTCCTCGCCGCTTCTACCCCACTGCCTTCTAAAAGGGTCAGATGAAGCAGGAAGCAGCAGAAATGAGCATTCTTTCAGATAAACCAACTGGGACTTGCAGGACGTGGGAGCCGCCCCACCAGCCCCTCCCAAAGGGCCAGGGCGGGTACCCTCAGTTCCACAGGAAGACCTTTCAGGAGAGGCGGGCGGATGCAAAGGACCAGAAACCCCAGAGGGGCTCACTCAGGTGTGAGCTGTGAGCTGTGTGCGGGAGGGTCAGGGCCCAGCCTCAGCCCTGGGCCGAGCACCTGTTACTTTAAGTATTACGTTCACGGAGAACCGCTCTCAGCGTGGCTGTGTGACCACACGCAGAGCCCCTACCAGCGCCTCTTCAGCCCTCAGCCCCCTCGGGGCCCCGGCCACCAGCACTCCGCACCTTCCTAACCCCGCGCCCCGAGTGATGCTTTTCCATTCAAGTTTTCAAACGTCGCACACAGTGACGCAACAACGGCAGCTCTCACATTGTCCAGGGCTCTTCTCAGCTATCAGCTCCGATATCAACTCGCCCGCACAGCCACCCCAGCAGGTGGCACCCCCACTTTACAGATTAGAAAGTGGAGACAGAGGTGCGGCGAGGAGAAGAGCGGGGATCCAAGCCCACCGGCCTCCCAGCATCAGAGGCAAAGACGGAGGGGCACTCGCCTGGGCGGGCACTGGCCACGGACACTCAGGCCTGGGGAGGTGGGACGCCGTGATGATGTCATTCCGCTGTCACTGGAGGAAACCACGCCTTCGGGGTCTGGGCTCGGACCCACGGCTAGAGAACAGCGGGGGTGGAGGCGAAGGCAGGTCTCCGAGCCCAGGGCCCACTCCATCTCTGCTTGGAAGGGCAGGCCTGGGTCCCAGCCGGCCACTGTGTGGGGCTTCCTCTGCCCTGGCCCCTGCCCACCGACCCCAGGAGGAGACGAGGGCCAGGGTCTGCCCCGGGCACAGGGCCCGCCCACAGCACAGCCCAGAGCCTGTTTCTTCCTGAGGGCCCCACAGGCCATGCCCACCCTCTTCCCCACTTCGCCCTCCGTGGCTCGGCCCAAACGCCTCCTCTCTGCTTCCTTGGCCTCCAAACTGCCCAGGGCTTCCTCAGCCTTCTCCCCGGCGAGCAGATCCCAGCGCCCCTGCACTGAGGCCACGCGGGCCCACGCGCCTGCGGGATGAAACACAGACGGCCCCTCATTGGGGTCAGGGAGCAAACACCTACTCGCTGACCCCGCCCCCCCCATGTCTGTCCTGTGGGCTTCAAACCACACCCCGCCCACGGCAGGGGCTCAAAAGGTAAATGCTGAGTTGAATCACACATCGGTTGGGTGTCGGGAGG